GATTGCTAACCTTCGGGACCTGTGGGTGGTATGATCGTGTTCGTGAGTGGGAACCTGCAACTGCCGGGAGAAGTGCACTTGCTCAAGTTCATTCAGGTGGTGTTTGGGTTGTTGTGCAAAATTCTTTTTGAGCATGGGGTTGGTTTTTGGGTGGCTTTTCTTTTAGTTGAGTGTTGCAGCGATTTTGTTGACGTTAATGGAGGGTTGTCATGGACTCTTTTGTGGTGCATTTTCTAGGATGAACAAACCTATAATTGTCCTCTCGATGTCTTTGGTGGGTTACTTTTCTTAACAAAAAGAAATCGGTCTAGTTTGGTCAGCTCTTATCTGATCTGTCTCTTGGTCTCGGAAAGGGTTATTACTGGACTTTTTTGACATGAATTTTGCTGCCATTTTTTTTGAATCAGTTTTTCCTCTTGAGATCTTCAATATCGAAACAATTCTTTTGTGGAATGCGTGCATGGCATTTTTGCTGCGAGTCCTAATATGGATTTGATGTCTTGTATTTTCCTTCAAATGAATAGCTATCTGTGAATTTCTTCGTTATGTGTCTAGTGATTTAATTTATTTTTTTACTTATTTTTTTCTTTCGCATCACAGTTCACTGTTCTGGTTTCATCGACTCGCTTTTTGTGTTTCATTGGACTTGTGAGAACTGCTGTTTCTTTCGACTTCCACTGCAAAGAATGGGTTGCTTTGAATTTCCTTGTGTTGATAATCATCTGGTATGATTCCTAAGTTGTGTCCCTGCATTTGCAGATGTTTAATCTCCTTCCAACACCACAGGGGAGCTTCTGCGTTAACAATGACATTTTCCGTCTCAACTATGCTTAATGTGCACCTTCATCCACAGGAAAGAGTTGCTCTACGCATGTTCTGTTCAAGTTTGATGAACGTGACCGCAGTTAGTGGGCTTCAGGATCTTGGAGCCGAAAGATTTTGTGGCCACTTCGAGCATATTGCAGGCACCGAAGTGACGACCCTTCAGATTTGGCAGTTCTGTTCCAGCCAGTTATCGTCAGCAAAATCTTCCCATCCTTGTTCTCGACAATCTACTGGAGAATTCTCGATTGGTATAGATTCTTGCTAACCCATCGTAAAATTCTTTGTAGGCCAATCACTTCTGGATTTTTTCATGTAATTTATATCCATGGTAGCACTTTTGCATATTATAAAATCTTGCGAAGGGGGTTGTGAATCTCCTATCCACCATGGATGAGTTGATTTTTATTGTCAAAACGTTGTCTATTGCCCAAGCCACGGAATTGCAAGGATTTTCGTTCCTATTCAAGGACACTCTCAATGTCCCTTTTTCATCGTAAAAAGGTGGAGACAATCACAGCGTGTTAAATATTTTCTCCCTTAGCACATTCAAAATATTTACTTTCGAAACATAGTCCGCAGGGAGGGCTCCATCGTTAACTTACACAAAATGTTACTTTTGTCTGCCATTGCAGCAAGTACTGCGTTGGCATTTGTGTTTTTTTCACCGCATTGACTTGTACCTTGAGTACAAGTCAATCTGATGAGTGGTTCGAGTACAAAACAGCTGCAATACCTTTGTCATACTGCCGGGTACTTCACTGAGAGTTTTTACACATTTCCGGCGATGGAATAAGTCCAAAATGCTTTAGTACCCAGTCCCCGGTCTGCAGGCAAGTTTTGGTGGCATCAACCCCTTCAGCTTTGCTCCAGGAGCCTACAGTCTAGGAAGCAGTCTCTTGAACCTAGGAGACTCTTCACCCCAGCAAGTAAATGCAGGCAGCATACGCAACTGGCAATAAGCTGTTGGCTACAACAACACTCAAGAAAACAAAAACAGTAACAAAACAAAAAAAAAAAAAAGTCCAATACCTTACCAATCTCATATCTACCTACGCAAAATGAGGGGTGGGTATACTTTGTACTCGTAGTGATGAACCCAACCAAGTTTTGAACCAAGGAGAGTGCATGAACCCAACCAAGTTTCAAGCAGTCACAAAATTGAATGAAAGCAAGTAAGCATGGCTGGTAAAGCACTAATTAATTAGCAGTACCATTTGGGGATGCAACGCATCCATCCATGAGTGCATTGAAGAAGGTCTCAGGAGTGTAGTACCACTGCCCTTTGTGCACTTCAATTGATTTCGGCGTAACCTAAATCCATGAGATCGAGGCAAAATTTAAGCCCCTCCTCCCTCTTGACTTGACTAACTCTCACTGACTGGTGCGTGTGTGTGTAAGTTATACGTGTATCAAATCTTAGCACCAGCCATTATTATAGCTTCTCCCCCTACTTCTTCTTCTTCCCCTTTTTCTCTGTCCTTCTTCTACGATATCTATCAAATTGGGCCCATTCAATTTCAGTACTGTTCTTGCGCTCTTTGCTTTGTGGTCTACACACACATCTAAATGCACAAATCTAATATTTTGGTGTCATGCATTGAACGGCTACTAAGAAAAGGTCACATTTTTGTTACTGGTGTTTGATGCAACATTTTTAATGCTCGAATTTCCAGGATATATGTTGCTTATTGTGCTTTGAGGAATAATTTTACTCCTTTGTATTGAGATGGCCAAGACAACAATGTTCAAATCGCCACATATCTCGGTTGGATGAGATTTCAACTACTGTCCAAATTTCTACTGCATTCAACTTTTTGCTAATGTTGAAATAGAAGTTTTTTTTTTTTTTTTTTTTGTTTTTTGTTTTTTTCCTCTCCATTGTGCACCAACAAATTCTTTGGTAGAAGTTTTGACAACGTGCTATTCCTCAATTAAAAATATCACATAACCTTCTCATACAAGTTTGCTAATTAGAAAGCATGCAAAAGACAAGTTTGATTTTGTTTTCGCACATGTAAAAGACATCCTTAATTATTCTTCTTCTGTTCTAAACCCATCAAATTAGTCATCACTGATATAAAGTCCATATGAGAGGCATTAAATATGGTATTGCTTCCCATAGGCATTATTCTTAAAAGAATATTTTTGGGTGTAGAAACTCACTCTTCTAAAGATTTGTTTGCTTTGTGGATGTTATTTTACCAACATATTTCCAAATGGCAATCATTGTATGTTTCTTGTTTGCCCAAAAGTTATTGTCAGCTCTTCCATAGTCATAAATGGCATTGTTTATCTTTTTTAGAATAATTTTTTAACATAGTATAAAGTACTGAAACATATGACCAACAAAAACATCCATAATTGTGAGTTAGTTTTGCATATTTTTGTGTTTATAAATATATATGTATATGTATAGAGACCTATATATATATATATATATATGTATATATTTTGCAATAATCAAATTGATATTATAAATTATTAATATAGAAAGAAAAAACCTAAATAATTTTCCATTTTATAAGAAATAATAGTCTCAACTCATGCCAAAGTTGAAGGCCTCTGAGTCTTTGCAGGTTTAGATTAATGTTAAAGTTTTAAATTTCATTAAGATATGTATTCTTAATCTTTAACCCCGTAATTATATTCGAATAAATCCAGCAATTTATTATTAAAAAAATTATACTTTTTTAAAAAATAAATATCTTTGATAGAGTTCTTTGATTAATTAATGAAAATATTCAGAAACATTAAATGATTCATCTCTTGCACTGTATTCATATTAAAATTTAAAAATTTTAAACTTACATATCACATCAATTATATATATATATATATATATATATATATGAAATAAAAATAAAAACAAAACAAAACAAAAATAAAAACAAATTATGGCTTTAAGATGTAATGCACTACTTCCTTCCATACTGACATTTTTCCCCTACATCAAATTTTTGTAATACTTTTTCAAGTTATCTAAAAGCTTTTTGACTTTGAGGACATATAAAAAATAATGGTGTTGAAAATACATAAATTTGTTGTACTTCTGATGTTTGTGCACAGTTAGCAACAGGGTAGTGCAACCATTCAAATTCAAAATGAATTAACCTAATTTCGTCAAAAATATTGAAACATCAAGTTTTATTTTCATTTCAAAAGCTTTTCTCTTTCTTATTTTCTTATGAAGTTTTTGAGGGTAAATAATCGTGATAGAATAATCATTTAATTCAAATCATGAATCTTCATTTCAATCAAATCAATTGATTCAAATGAGGTGTTTTGGAGATATCATACAAGATTCTTCACATTTTTTTTTAAAGATTGTTTAGCTTTCTTTGAATCTTCACGTAGCAATTACGCTTACCTCTCAAAAAAATGAGGTTCTCAAAAAAAATATAATTAAATAAAAATAAATCTTCATCTCTCACAATACTATTATATTAATCCGAATTTTCAACCATTAACAAATTTTGTCAGCCCAAGATTTGTATCATTTGTAATTTTGAATGGACTATGCAATATCTTAATTTCCTAAAATCATTATGCATGTTTTTTTTTAAATTTTTTTGCATGTAGATATTACATATCGTCAAATAATCAAACAAACAAATAAATAAATATAATGTCATGTTTCATATTATATAACCTAGTGCAAAACAAATATACAAGTGTACATACATACATATTTAAACACTAATCAATTACATGATTGGATTTGTTTTTTATTTTTTTTTATTTTTCCTCTAATTCATTTGTCCATCTGAACATTGGCTGTAAAAGGACTTTCATCTTTGTCCGTGAACATGCCAACATTTTCAATGTTTGTACCATGATCCATCACACAATTTCTTTCTCTTTTTCCTTTTAAAAAGTAAAATATGGTTGTATATTATTTTTCACTATTATAAAACATCAACGAATTCTTTAAAATGATTTACTATATTCGAAAATCCAATATATTTTACTATTTATTTGTGTTAATTCTATTTGAAACATTGTTTCAATATGAGATGAACTTTGCAAAGAAAGATGGGTGTAAGATAAATTTCACAAGTTTCAACATACTCAAGAGTGACATGTAATGAATTTAATATTTTGCATTCACATAATGCTTTTTGAAGAATTAAAATAAAGCCCCAAATGCTGAGAATTTTATTCTATTTGTGTTTACTATAAAATTTTCAAGTTATTGAAGAAATCTAAACCTCAAATCTTGGTGCATTATCATGAATTCTAAAATGAATTTTTATCATTTCTGTGTAAGTTCGAAGTATAGCTAAATCATTGAAGAAATCCCCTCTAATTTTACTTACCAGTCTTCATAAGTTGACTAAAATTAATGACATGAACAAAAGTAACAAATAAATAAATAAATTGTTGTGTACTTTGGATGTTGGAGCATGCAATGTAATATGACATGGATGGATGACAAGTATTGTATTCGAAATCATCCATATAAATAATGGTCCATCCGCCCAAAGTATGCCATGATGCAAGGGCTACAACAATGAATAACTAATGGGCCCCATGTCCCCCTTCTCCAATTATTTTATTGTATTTTAAAAGCGTAACCCTCATTAAAACAATTCCACTAAAAAAAGGGGGGGAAGAAAAAAGAAGACGATAAAAATGTCATTTTATCATTCATCCACATCCAGATTGGATAGTAAATATATGTACAAAAATATTCATATAAGGTAGGTACACATTTAACTCAGATCTTCCTCATTCCTTTCTCTTAAACCAAATAAATCTATCGAAATTCCTTTTGTATTTTTATGAACGTGCAAGGTCCCTTCCTTCTTCATTGTGATGGGAATTGAGAAAATGAGTATTGTTCGTTGCAACCTTATTTAAGACTTTTATATACGAGTATTATTAAGCAAAGGGAGGGGGTATAACTGCATCGTGTTTACTATTATTGATTTTGAATCCTTGAGAACATTGAATTGTATCATGGGGTGCCTTTTTTAATGACTTTTACTTTAACGATCCCCTTTTTTCCTCCCAAATTACCACTCTCCCCAAGTATTATTAGTGAAAACGACTCCTGAAGGCCAAGGACCAGAACAAACTAGTTCACATGCAGTGTGAACGCGTACTTTTTGTTTGGTAAAGTAGTAAGTTACTAGAAGGGTGAGCTCGAACCGGAAGCGGATCAACGATGGATGGATGTGTGCATGAGACCCCATGCCTCGACGACATTCGTTCATTCATTCACAACAGGAAGACATGTGAACTGTGTGGATGAGGCCAGGTCAGCAGCTGAGAATCAAAAGGCCCTACTGGTCAAAAAGGCGATGGCGTACTTTTTGGAGGAAAAGTAATTTCTGGACGTGAAAAAAGGTGAGGTCGCTATGCCATGTCATCGATGAGAACGTGCCCAATTCATTCATCTTTCGTCCACATTCGTCTGTATTTTTGACGATATTGTGGTGGCCTGCACGTGTTCGATTTCAATTCGTTTCTAGTGTAATTGATTTGTGACTAATACAAACGTAGAGATTTCAGCAATATTGAATGTGTTTCTATTCAAATATATTTAAAATTTTACATGTTTAACGACATGAAATCAATTAATGACATGTACATAGCAATAACTAGTAATATGTTTATAAAAAATTAGCCATGAAAATATAAGTAATCCTTTTAATCTTTGAAAATATGGTCTGTAGTTTTTATTTTAAATTAATGATATATATATATATATATATATATATATATATATCATACTAATTGCTAATCATACCATATGAGAATAGTGAAAAAATCATACAGATCTACATATCTATCTACATAGTACTGATATAATACTGAATATACCAAATTTGTATTTGTTTTATTATGTATGTTTGTTTGTATTTTGTTTTTAGTTTGATTTTTACATCAAATTATGTTGTTGAACTTTTAGACGTTCAATATATTGTGAATAATAAAACAATAAAAATTTGAAGTTTTCGAACCTCATGTTAACAAACACATTTATCTGTCCATGTTGCGTAGTGCAATATTGGTTCTAATAAAAAATAAAAAATAAAATAGTGAAGAGATGGAGTATTTGAAGGGTAAGAAAGAAAGTAATAGAAAAAGAAAGAGACTCAGTCAAACTATCCACTCGTTTGGCTTGAGAGAGATCTGCAAAACTGATTTACGTTTATCCCCCAAAATAAAAATATATTAAATGACTTACTTCCACTACAACCATCTTTTCACTTTTCTATGATGCATTTTATTTATTTAGTCTCAATGACGAACGGAAAAGACCATCCATCCCTTGTTACGGAAACGGAACTTTTTTACTTTTTCATCCTTCGAAACGTTCCTCCAATTAAACAGTAGCCATGGACAACAAATCAGATTCGACGCATTAATTTCCCCCTCATTATGCTCCAGTGCCAACGGAAGTGTAATTACAAATTTACCCATCCCCTATGGCTTGCTTCTGAATATACCCACGGTAATTTTCACATTTTCCCACGTTTCGATGACCAGCCTGAATGTAAAAGCTAGTCGCCAAAAGCAACCGCAGTAAAAGTAATATAATTTACGCCGCACATTGGGCCTCACAAAGCCTACTTTAACTTATCCCACCAATCTACCTACCTACCTACCTGCCTGCCTGTCAGGTCCATTAGGTCGGTACCACCTCGAGTCCTCGGGGGAGGCACGCACCAACCCAGCAAGCGCCTCGCCGAACCTGGGCCCGGGGGTATCGTGGGACTGATGCCCTTGCCCCGAGCATAACGTCCAGCGCTGTTGCTGATGGTCCAGTGGTAGAAGGCGGGCTGGACCAATCTCGACGAAGACTGTGTGGATTGACATCGATCAGGGATGACCATCCTCACTGGGTGCTATACTTAGTGCCAACCGTGTCCATCAGCGTTGGGGAATTTGCCATTTATGGCGTTTCGTCGTTGCTGTTGTAGTTGCTGCTGCTGCAGTTGTAGTTGCTGCAATGATGCTGCAACAACGGCGCTGTCGTGGCCGTGTTGCTGGAGGGCAGTGGCGATGGGGATGATGGCGACGAAAAGAGAGTGATGCAATTTTAACGACATCAGTCGCGAGGGTTTTGGTGTGAGGAAGTGGCTTAATCTGGGTAAGGGACCATTGGGTCGCGTCTCGCACCAGGTTTAGCGACGATTTAGTGCGGAGGAGGTTGGGGGCTGGCTTAGTGGGTTGGTAACACAGCGGTAGTTTCGTGGTTTATCAGTTTCTGGTCGCTTCCAGGTGCTTTCTGGCGCCGACACGGCCCTTCTCCCCACCAGTAGTAGCGGTGAAGCGGCCTGGGTTGGGTTGTGTTGAGTGACTCAGAGCGGGTTTGACGTGGGTGTGGATTGTCTGTAAGGGCAAGAGGTTGAGAGACCGCAGAACAGAGGAGAAAGAGAGAGAGAGAGAGAGAGGTTGAGAGACCGCAGAACAGAGGAGAAAGAAAGAGAGAGAGAGAGAGAGCCGGGTTGTGGTAGTGTTGTTTTGAGAGTGTGAGGAGGAGGAACGAGTGTTCGGTTGTGGGTAGAGGCGCGCGGGTTTGAGTAAATTGGGGTGATCTTGTCTGGGATATGTGTGTTGCTTGGGTGGAGTTTGTGCTCACTGGGAAGTTGGGATTGCTAGGTTGGGTAGCAATTTGGGCCTGAGTTGCGTGGAAGATCGGATTGTGACCTGGTTTTGTAGGGTGAGTGGGAGACTCCAAGCGGAGAGAAGGGGGTTGGATCCTGTGAGATCTGAGTGGAGTTTGATTCAGATTGGTTGAGTGAAATTGTAGGGGGAAGTGCTGAGGATTAGGAATCGGCACTCGGGAATTGCGCACTACTTTGGAGGACAATTTGCTCCACTCTCCAATCGAGAGTTTGGAGTTGGTGGGGTTTGATTCTGAGATTTCGTCGTAGGGTGTGTTGGGTGGCTGTATTGAACCGTGACGGGGAAGGGGTGATCAAAGAGGAACCATACCGGGGTCCAATTGGATGATGCCATATCCATCCATGCAGGGAGGGCAACCGCAGCAAGGACAGCTCATATGCAGCGGGTGCCGCACCCTGCTCGTGTATCCTCAAGGGGCCAGTAATGTACGCTGCGCGCTTTGCAGTTCTGTAACGCAAGTGCCGTCCCACGGTACAGAGATGGCTCAACTGGTTTGTGGCGGATGCCGGACTCTTCTGATGTACATGCGCGGCGCCACCAGCGTGCAGTGCTCTTGCTGCCACACCGTGAACCTGGCGATGGAAGCCCCCCAGGTGGCTCATATCAATTGTGGCGGGTGCGGGATGACGCTGATGTACGCATATGGCGCACAGAGTGTGAAATGCGCACTGTGCCAGTTTGTAACAACCATCACGATGCCGAGCATGCGGGTCCAGCTGCCATCGATATCGCAGCAGCCAAGGCCTCCGCAAGCCCATGGCGGGCCACCTCCTGCTCTCACATCGTCTCACACGCAAACCGTGGTGGTGGAGAACCCCATGACGATGGACGAGAGTGGGAAGCTGGTGAGCAATGTGGCTGTGGGCGTGTCCACTGATCGGAGGTAACGATGCTAGCTGGCGATTGTTTAGTTGCATGTTTGCAGTGGTGATTGGCTTGTGATCGGTACCAGGTACAAAGTGTAGGATAGGGCAGGCAAGCAACACAAGGCGGGGAGATAATCGATGGCGAACCTGATCATACGATGAATGGTGTTCAGGGTGGTGACTCAAACCACTTTGAATAAGGAGGTTATGGTGATGATGATGATGATGGGAAGGACATTGAAGGCAGCGGCGAATTTAGAGCAGGTAGATTGTGGTGCAGAACTACTGGCGGCCTCCGGATCCTCTTCGCAAGGATGTCGTAGTGACTTATCGAGCGGGGTCATTTTGGTGTCTGGAGTTACCCAGAGGTGTAAGCTCAGCGAGCTGTTGCAAGGGTAGTAGTAGGATGCTGGTGTATGCATAGCGGTGGGTTTAGGATATAGGGCTATGAGGTTCAATTTGTGCATTTCAACCAATGAAGTCCCACGTTAATTATTCCCAAACTGCTGTCTGTCGAAATCTCTTTTTTCCCTTCCCCCACCCCCTTAACCCCTCTTTCACTCCTATCTGGGTTGACGTGAAGCTGCTCTAGCTGTCAGTGTTGGATCTGGTGAGGATGTGGTTCTGTGGGTCCTGCCATGAGAGGAGATGAAACCAACCTCTTGTTTGAGCGTTTGCAGGAAACCTCTTTGGGATGGCGCCGCTGGGTGTTTCACACCTTCGATTTTTAATCAGTGGACATTATGCACGAGTTCTTTGCGTGACTTTACGGTGTTTAACTGGGACTACTAGCCTGCCACTTTGTTCTTGAGAGATTATGGGTGTTTTGAGGTTTTTGTTTTACCGACTTAGTTTTAATTTATTTTATAGTTTTGATGCATGTGTTGGTCCTTTGTCTACGTTTAGATCTTAATTCTTATTTAGCTTTCAGTCACCTGCAATACCTGGTTAGTGATTCATTCAAGCTTGTCTCAGACTTTCGCATGTGTAATGCGAAATAGCATGATGCGACTCGCTCCTTGCTAGACATGCTTCCTAGTCGTTACGTATGTAACTATTCGTGAATGAGGCTTTTGTATGTTGTCAGATCCAGGAAACTGGAATGTATTTAGGTAGAATCGTTTCTTTGCTTTGTGCCTTCCATTACCTCATATTGTATTTCTTACAGGAAGTTTTCTAATATTTGTTTTTGATTTTTGCTTTTAGGTTCTAATTGGCAGTTTCAGGGTTCAACTCGACTGATCTAACCAACTCTTTGTCTTTTGTGTAACTGAAGTCATTGAGTGATCTTTGTTAAAAGCTGACTTGTTGTAGGGGTGACAGTTGTTTCAGCAGGTGATTATTCTGCCCAAAATTGTTTGAAGTTCAGTGATTAGATCTTGATTTTGTATGGCAATTTTGGGGCCTCATTGTCTTGCTGTTTTGTGATGGTTGATCGACAGATTTTTAATTATGCTTATAAAATCGATTAACAAGGGAACACAAATTGTAACTACATTTAACATTTCTCTTCTTGTGGTTCCTTTTAGTTTGTTGGACATTTAGAACAAAATTTGGTTATGGATGATGTTACAAAGTTATTTTGATGATTTCAGTATATGTATGTATGAATTTAAGACAAGATGTATATACATACATACATACACATATATGACAATTATTCAAACAGCTTTCTAACATTGTTAATGATCACATTGTGCTTTAAACTAAAACAAATCACACGGAGATTTAATGTAGTCGTACTTTGCCTTGTCTTGTTAATTATTTTATAAATATAATTAAAATTATATCATGCAACAACTGGACAATTAAGCCCCGAAATTCACTCACATTCAAATCAAGATTTGCTCATGAGACTTTTTCACAAAATTGTGTAAACCAATTTTGTTCAAAGATTTCTACTGTTGAAACTGATGTCATCGTCTGTGACGTGAACAATTTTGACAGTAATGATTCTAAGACTTTAGCTACTCAACTGACATGCATTTTGTTGGTATGAAATGATCAAACCCTTGTAGGTAAAGTGATAATACCTATTTCGTGGCTCTGTGAAATACTAACCATGGTTGCACGCCGATGTAATGTAGAAACACTGGACATGTGAGAGTAGTTAATGTATAGATTTGATGAAATAAAACTCGTCACCAATTTTGTGACTATAAACTCTTTCTCAGTGTCATTTTTAATAGTTCTATTTTTAACCAGCATGAAAATATCACAATTTCAAACAAAAAGATTATGTCTTACATCTAAGTGCTGAATATTATTATTACTGGGATATCTAAGCTTATTAATTGCTTTTCAACATAATATTATACCAATCTAATGAATGTTTTCATCTTGAATTTAAGCTTTCGACATTAATTTACACAAGTGGTGTGTGGCCTGAAGACGTAGTTTACATTTTTGGTAATGTGGCAGTTTGTGAATCAAGGTATCTTGATTGATATGGAAAATACTAATAAACTTATTTTAAAAAAACATGTTTAAAGTTATTATTGCTTCAAAGTAATACGAACACACTCGGTAGTTGACATTACTTTCTTCCAGTGAAGACACCTTGATTGTTCAAATTTTAACACCTAGCATATTAATACCGCAATATGGTTTGAATTTATTTACTCAGTTTCAATTCATAATCTCTAATTCATGACCAAGAAGTAATGCAGTTCCAACTCATCGACCATATTTATTCTGAACACTTAAGGAGAATATTTTTAGCTTGAAATGTTTGAAAATCTAAATACCGTATTGTTATTGTTTAAATTTTAATAAAAGTACCAAAAACTGAACTCTACAGATGTATTTTTCATAAATACATTCGTAAACTGCATTTTTTTGTATTTCAATTAAAGACATAACCAAAGGGGTATTTGTACAAACTAAGCTTATAAAGCTACACCATATCAATACTAAATATCTGCATAGTATAGTGCATACGTTTCATAAGAATTATAACTAAACACAAAAAAAGACATGATTTTCAAAAAGGCATCCTCTAATATTTTTCAAAGGTACAAGATTCAACATGTATACCTCAAGCAATGGACTCCTCTAGCCCCACTCAACAGAGATCATGCTCACGATCCATCATCAACCCCGCACGAACACTGACGGAAACATCCCACGTTCGTCAATTACGTAACGACCATCTGAATTTCGTTGGATTAAACCCGACGAAGCCGGACGACGGATACCATTCGGTCGTTCAGGATCCTCAGTTCTCTGAGAGACCCGACGAACGTTCCGAGAGCTCCCATGCTAGTTACAGATTCAGCTTGTGGGAGCAAGCAAGGGCGTAGGAGCTCGTTGCGCATCGCTGTCAAACCCTAGGGATGAATTGCAAGCCCTCGTGACACTCTCGCTTTCGTACCAATTCTCAATTTATTTCTCCTCAGTGATGCGAATTTTTTTGGGATTAGTAACATAGGAAACGGTGTTGTATGCCGAGAGATCGGCGTGTTTTCATTTTGTGATGATAGCAGTTTTGGTAGTTTAGATGGTTGGAGAGGGAGGTTCGTGGCTGTGATCGGTGAGAGCAGTCGATTGTGTGAGGGGAAGATTAGGGGAGGTCGGATCAGCCAGTTATGGCGACAGAAACGCCAGGCGCGAAGGCGCGCTCTAAGCTGGAGAAAGTTGTATCACCAGCATTGGACAAGGTGATTAAGAATTCCGCATGGCGCAAGCATAGCAAGCTAGTGCAGGAGGCGAAAGCTGCGATTGAAAAGCTGGCTGTGAACGATTTAGAAGCTGCTGCGAGTGCGTTAGAGAGCCCTTTGTACGAGGATAATGGATTGTGTTACAGTGCAGCTAATGCGGAGTTGCTCCTGCAACCTTTGATCGGGGCATGCGAAACTGGTTATCCTAGGGTTGTGGAACCGGCTCTTGATTGTCTTCAGAAGCTGATCGCGCATGGACATTTGCGGGGTGATATGGATACTTTGACACCTGATAATAAGCTTTTATTGGAGGTCAGTCTCCACTTCCCCCTCCTCGGCAGGTTGAGCTGTGCAGTTAGCAGAGAAGCAGTCTTCATGGATGATAGTGTCTTGCAATTTGGTGTAATGCAGAAATGATAATTAAATACATGAGCTCTCACAAGAGTGGTTCTTATTTGGCGCACCATACCTTCCAATTGCCCTCTATCTACGACCAAATCCAGGTATCTTCCCTTTTCGGAGGACGTGTTTGGTATAGGTTCGGCTGCGTACGACGTTCACTGGCATTACCCTATTGTGAAACACGTTGCCGTATCTGTGTGTCACTCGCCTTCTTTTTAAAACCAAGCGATGAGATTTCAAGTTTTTGGGAAGGACTGTAGAATTTGGAGGTAATGAAGCCTCATGGTATGCGCAGGTTATGGAGGGAGTGTGTAAGTGTTACGATATGGCAGAGGATGGCATTGAGTTGCTGGTTATGAAAACTCTTCTGTCCGCGGTCACTTCCACCTCATTGCAAGTGCACGGTGATAGCTTGTTAAAAGCAGTACGTACTTGCTACAACATTTACCTGGGCAGCAAATCTCCGGTCAATCAAACTACCGCAAAAGCATCCCTTACCCAAATGCTAGTGATCGTATTCCAGCGAATGGAAGCAGATTCATCTAATGTGATGGTACAACCCATTGTTGTAGCAGATCTCATGGAGCCAGCCGAGCGTTCAAACTCAGATACAAACATCACACAGTTTGTCCAAGGTTTTATTACCAAAGTTGTCCAGGACATTGAAGGCGTCATAAGTCCAACTCCTGCATTAAAGTCTATGCAATCCACGAAATATGACGGCGCTTTTGACACAGCTGCTGGCGCAGACAGCAGCAGTTCGAATGATATTCTAGAATCAACTGACAAAGACATGTTAGACGCCAAGTACTGGGAGCTAAATATGTACAAGAATGCGCTCGATATAAACAGGAAAGGTGGTGAATCGGCTGAGTCAGAGGTAGATAAAGACGGGGATGCAGATGTTCAGATTAACAACAAGTTGCGTCGGGACGCCTTTTTGGTATTTAGGGCACTTTGTAAGCTCTCTATGAAGAATGCTCCTCAAGAAGGCCTTGCAGATCCATTTGCCATTCGTGGGAAGATTATAGCGTTGGAGCTCCTCAAGATTCTGTTGGAAAATGCTGGGACTATTTTTCGGACTAGTGACAGGTATAGACACATCCTGTAAATCAATTCAAAGGTCAGATATGTAATGCTCAGCTTTAGTCCGAAGTTAGGCGCGATCAAAATCGTTAGGCTAGTCCAACTTGTTGTATAACAGTTTCTGGCTTAAATATCAAATCCAAGTCTGAGGTTAACACTTCAATTAGGCAGGCTGTTCAAGAACAATTAATCATACGAGCATCTTCAAACTTTCAGCTGACTTAGGGTCTGGTAATTCCAGCGCTGGTCTTGTCAATAACACCTGACTTAGTGGTTTGGCACAGTCCTGCCAGTATTTTTAGGTTAACAACGTGCGAGTTCATGTTTTGTATGATTATAGAATTTGGCTTTGAGGTATGTAATAAAAGTACCTGTGTACTAGCCCCTGAGATTTTCTGTCGACTCAGAAGTCATATATATATATATATATATATATATATATATATATATATATATAATCCGAGGGAGAAACTGTGCTTTTGTTGCAAGTTTCTGCTATTACTTCGTGGTCTCAAGTGTTCATCGTGATTTATCGGTAACTTATGGTTGATTACAGATTTTTGGGAGCCATCAAGCAATACCTCTGTCTTTCATTACTGAAAAATAGTGCATCATCGATGATGAATGTATTTCAGCTTTCATGTTCTATCTTTATGAGCCTTGTTTCAAGATTTAGGGCTGGGCTCAAGGCGGAAATTGGAGTTTTTTTCCCTATGATCGTGCTTCGAGTGTTGGAAAACGTTGCACACCCCAATTTTTCTCAGAAGACAATTGTATTGCGCTTTTTGGAAAAGCTTTGCGTCGATCCACAAATTTTGGTGGATATTTTCGTCAATTATGACTGTGACGTAGATTCGTCTAACATCTTTGAAAGGCAAGTTCACATATGCCCTGTTTGATTTCTTTTAAAGACATTCTGTAACTTATTGTTGCCATGCCTCATTTGTCCATGAGTACGTTGAGGCAGTTAAGGAAATTTCAGCCAATGTAGAAATTTATTGTCAACACGCGAAAGATGTGCAGGATGGTCAACGGCCTGCTGAAGACTGCGCAAGGCGTACCTAATGGTGCAGAGACCAGCTTGAACCCTGTTCAGGATGCCGCTTTTAAGCTCGCAGCTATCAAGTGTTTGGTTGGGGTGCTGCGGTCTATGGGGAATTGGTTGAATCGTCAATTACGCCTCACAGAATCTTCTCCATACGTAAAGTTTAACGATGGTGAAGAAAGTACCAGTGAAACAGTTGACACTATATCTACTGCAACTGCAGAAGTTCCAGCAGCTACTGGATCTGAAAAAGGGGAAGAGAATGCTGAGAAGACCGATGACAAGATTGGAGAGAAAAATGGTGAAGCTAGCAGTACCTCTGGAAGTCGCCCAACTGAGGAGACATCTGAAGCGGCTACCTTTGAGCAACGGCGTGCTCACAAGTTAGAAGTGCAGGTGCTGGTCATCCTAAATAATTATAATTAGCTTGATACAGGGCTGCCCATATTTTTCATTTAAAAATAACCAATAGCACTTTCTTACAGGGTATTTGATTTGCAGGAAGGTATCGCTCTGTTCAACAAGAAACCTCGAAAAGGCATTGAGTTTCTCATTAAAGTCCATAAAGTGGGTGAGACTCCTGAGGAAGTGGCTAAATTCCTCCGGGATGGCAATGGTTTGGACAAGGGCATGATTGGAGATTATCTTGGTGAAAAAGAAGACTTTTCTCTCAAAGTGATGCATGCTTACGTGGACTCTTTTAATTTCCAAGGGATGGAATTTGATGAATCTATCAGAGCATTTTTGTTGGGGTTTAGATTACCTGGAGAGGCCCAGAAAATTGATAGGATTATGGAGAAATTCGCTGAGAGATTCACAAAATGCAATCCGAAGGCCTTCAGTAGTGCAGATACAGCATACGTGCTTGCTTACTCTGTGATCATGCTTAACACCGATGCCCACAACCCTATGGTCAAAACTAAGGTCAGTAATATGTTAGAATCGCGCATTGCGTGAGTACGGGTGCGTGTGCGTGTGTGTATTGCTTTGCTCTTGGTTCTGTTGCTCTTACATTGTTGCGTTATATTTATGATTCTTTTTGATTTCTTGCTATGATTTTTCGGTACAAGTTTGTTGCATGACACCTGCTTGATCTTCCAATAAGTATTGGGTTTTGCAACTCACGCGCCATGTCTGTGTTCTCCTCAGATGTCTAAGGCAGAGTTCATTCGCAATAACCGTGGGATTGATGATGGTCGGGATATCCCAGAGGATTTTATGAGTAGTCTGTATGATCGTATAGTGTCCAACGAAATCAAAATGAAGGCAGATACCTTGGCGCCAAGTAAGCAACAGCCTGCTAACTCAAACAGGATGCTAGGGCTGGATGCCATCCTCAACATCGTCGTGCGGAAGCCTCGCGAGGATTCTAAGATCATGGAGACAAGTGATGATGTCATTCGTCATATGCAAGAGCAATTCAAAGCTAAGGCTGGGAAATCAGAGTAAGTTTTTTGGTCAGGGAACAGTAAATTAAAGTGTTTTTTTTGCTTTACTTCTATGTTGAATTGTTTAATTGCACTATGGTCAGCAGATATTAGAAATCGCTTGACAGACGCATGTTGTAATTAGAAAATAGGAACTGAATTGACGGAACTTCAAGTGATGATGATTCGCATGAAATTATTCTACTGATCATCAAAATTTGTGGTGAGCTAGTCACAATGCTCTTTAAGATAACGTCTTCTTTCTTCACTCTTTTTCGACTTATTCGCATCGTGTTGTATGCAGGTCGGTATATTATGCAGCATCAGATGTAGAATTATTAAGGCCCATGGTTGATGTTACATGGGCTCCCATGTTGGTTGCATTCAGCGTACCGCTGGATAAAAGTGAAGATGAGGTTGTCACTTTTCAATGTCTCGAGGGCTTTCGTCATGCTGTCCACATCACAGCCGTCTTGTGTATGCGAACACAACGTGATGCATTCCTTACATCTCTTGCAAAATTTACATCGCTTCATTCTGCTGCAGACATCAAGCAAAAGAATATTGATGCTATCAAGGTATTAAGCGCTTTTATAATCCTGAATAAATTTTGTTGAAATGTTTACTTTGCCGAGCAACCTCCAAATGTACTTGTCAGGAACCTCCGCTGCTTTGTATATACTTGGTTGTTCGCACAGATATCAAGCTCTTCTAACGGTCTATTTGGATGGCAGGCAATCATTTCCATTGCAGACGAGGATGGAAACTACTTACAGGATGCCTGGGAGCACATTTTGACATGCGTTTCGCGCTTTGAACATCTTCATCTTATTGGTGAGGGTGCTCCGCCAGATGCTACCTTCTTTGCAGCTCCTCAGAATGAATTAGATCGACGACAGTCTGTTAAGGGCCCAGTTTTGCCTGTACTGAGAAGAAAAACGCAAGGGAAGTTGCAATACGCGGCTGCCGCAGCTCGGAGGGGCTCTTATGACAGTGCTGGCGTAGGGGGTGGATCTGCCGGAATTGTCACCACGGAGCAAATGAACAATCTTGTTTCTAACTTGAATATGTTAGAGCAGATTGGTAGTTTTGAGGTGAATAAGATATTTACTCGAAGTCAGAGGCTGAACAGTGAAGCGATTGTTGACTTTGTCAAGGCTTTATGCAAAGTATCAATGGAGGAATTGCGATCTCCTAGTGATCCTCGAGTATTCAGCTTGACCAAAATTGTGGAGATATCGTAAGTATTTCACTCTTCACTACTCTCTCAGTTCTAGTAATCTATATATTTCTGTTATGTGCTTGCGTTTATCCGGTGCTTGCAGTTTTATGGGCGTTATCTATTACGTAAAGTGTCGTTCATGACTTTCGATGTCTGTTCAGGAGATGTACCTATAGGAAGTCTGTGATGATTTCAAATAAAATCAATCATGGAATACACTTACTGTTACTTTGTCGGGATAATTGTATTGTGGCAATGATCAATTGATCAATGGCTTCAACCTATACAAGGACTGCATAAAGTTATTTAACACTATTCATATGCAGGCATTTCAACATGACGCGCATCAGGCTGGTTTGGTCAAAGATGTGGAGTGTATTGGCTGATTACTTTGTAACAGTCGGGTGTTCAGATAATCTTTCTGTTGCAATGTATGCTATGGATTCGCTACGGCAGCTCGCCATGAAGTTCTTAGACCGCGACGAGCTTGCGAATTTCAACTTTCAGAATGAATTTATGAAGCCATTCGTGATTGTCATGCGCAAAAGCTGCTCTGTTGAAATTCGAGAGCTGATAATCCGATGTGTTTCTCAAATGGTTTTTGCGCGTGTTGGGAATGTCAAATCTGGCTGGAAGATCATGTTTATGGTACGGACTCTACTCCTTTGACTTTATTTATTGTGTTCATTCAGTTCTGTACGCATGTGAAGCAGTTCAGGCTCGTGTGCACTTGGTATACAGTTTTGTAGAATATGGTTGATAGTTGGTTACCTTGAACGATTTCGTTTTGTCCTGATTAATGCATCCTTCTCTTATGATTGATAATTAGAGTTGGCACATATGTAGGTTTTCACTACAGCAGCTACGGATGAGCACAAGTCAATTGTGCTGCTTGCATTTGAGACAATAGAAAAGATTGTACGTGAGTATTTCCCGTACATAACTGAAACAGAGACAACCACCTTCACAGATTGCGTGAACTGTCTCATAGCTTTTACCAACAGCAGGTTCAATCAAGATGTCAGCTTGAATGCCATAGCTTTTCTTCGTTTCTGTGCCCTCAAACTTGCTGAAGGAGAGCTTGGTGCTGCTACGCGGAGCAAGAGTGGAATGAATCTTGCATCTCCAGAAGAGTCTCCTACCTTTACTGACAAAGATGACCATCTCTATTTTTGGTTTCCACTTCTTGCTGGTATGTTGGAACGTGATTTGTTTACACCTGCTACAGTAAGATTCTAGGAACTTAGTCCAGCACCCGTAGTCGTGTAAGTGTTTAGACGTGATCTCTCTCTGCTAATCTGGTGTTCTCCATATCACAAGGCTGGTTTCTGTTTTGATCGTAATGGACAGAACTAACAAGCAATGGCTTAAGTGCTACATAACTTTGTGAATGGTTTTCAGTAGATTGTGTAGGGCTATTTGGCGATATCCTTTCTTGTCCTTTTAACTTGTCTATTTATTACGTTGATGATCTGAAAGCCTTGTCATTTATTACAGGACTGTCGGAGCTTACTTTTGATCCTCGACCTGACATACGAAAAAGCGCACTTGAAGTATTGTTTGATACTCTGCGAATTCATGGAGATAAATTTTCAGCTGGCTTATGGGAGAAAGTGTTTGACTCAGTTCTGTTTCCCATATTCGACTCGGTGCGTCGTGCTACAGACGCAGCTCACAACGGTGAACCTGAAAAAGAACAAGAAGAGTTGGAGATGGATGCGTGGCTATATGAGACTTGTACATTGGCTCTGCAACTTGTGGTAGACTTGTTTGTTAAGTTCTATCCTGTTGTCAATCTTTTGCTAGGCAGGGTCCTATCTTTATTGACTGGGTTCATCAAGCGACCTCATCAAAGTCTAGCAGCTATTGGTGTGGCCGCCTTTGTACGACTGATGAGTAATGCTGGAAGACTTTTCTCAGATGAAAAGTGGTTAGAAATCCTCAATAGTTTGCATGAAGCTGCACTAGAAACACTCCCTGACATTGCGCATCTGGTCGCGACTGCACAAGATCAGCAAGTAAATCACATGGCCAGAACTTCAGTCTCATCTCGTGCTGAAAGTCAAGATGGACATGAACCTTCAATAGCATTGCATAATCTCATTCAAGATGTGAAGTGCCGAACAGCTGTGCAATTACTGCTCGTGCAGGTTTTATCTCTTCCCTTGTTACCCATCTGCATCATTGTATCGAATTCACTTCAAAAACGGCTCAATCGAGATCCTGATGTGAATACATTATGCACATTGATAGATACTATTCTTCTGTGCTGTATCGGGTCCCTCCGTGGTCACATCCTGGGACAATCTGATCTGCAGAGTGTCATAGTTAGTTCCATGCTTCAAGAACTAAGGGATGTATTTCTTCAATGAACAGTATGAAAAAAATTTTAGGGTCATTCTTTAAGCGTCGCATATTTAAGCGATCAAAGAAGCGAGTCTCAGGTGCTTGTTCTCACGTTATGGTGCTTTGTCCTAAACAGGCTATGACAGAGATGTATAACTCTCATGGAGCACACCTTTCGGCTGCCAACACAATGCAGTTACTAGACACACTCCACACAGTAGCGGTTCATGCACATAAGGTGAACGGTGACCACGCCCTTCGTCAACAACTTCAAGAACTCCGACTTATGCCAGACCCCCCATTGCTGCGTCTGGAGAGCGAGGCGTACCAAGCATATCTAGCCATGTTGCAACATTTACCTATGGACAAGCCTAGTTTAGCTAAAGACGTGGAAGTAGAAACTAGATTGGTTGAGCTTTGTGAAGAAGTGCTTCAGCTTTACATTTCTATTTCTACCTCTACTGATGACTCCATCCAGAAGCCAAAGTGGGTGATTCCGCTTGGATCCGCCAGGAGGCGGGAGTTGGTGTCGCGTGCTCCACTTGTAGTTGCAACTCTGCAGGCAGTTAGTGGTTTGAAGGATGCTTCGTTTGAGCAGTACTTGGTGCGGTTCTTCCCTCTGCTAGCAGGATTGATCAGCTGTGAACACGGTTCCGGAGAGGTGCAGTTAGCGTTAAGCGACATGTTTAGCAATTGGATTGGACCCATCCTATTGCAAGCATAATTGTAAGGATATTTTAGCGTTTGTAGGTAACAGCTAACTCGTATATACAACGATACCAATTGTAGTTATTACTCCAATGCAATGATTTGTATTTAGCGAATTGAGTCACTTGTTATTTCGAATACCTGTCCCTTCATGTTCTTGAGTATCGAGATATTGGCCGCTTAAAATTCACATCAGCAACTGGTACTGCTGTGCAGAAGTCGTCACAAGTTTGTCATTAACCACCTACTGCACATGAGGTGTTGTACAGTAGGGTCATTTATAATTTGAATTTCAGATGTGCTCCCTCTTCTATGCATGAAAAACCACTGCATTCAATTGATTGTAGCTATCTCAATTTTTATTGATTTTCCACCAAATGCATTCAATTGATTGTAGCTACCTCAATTTTAATTGCTTTTCCACCTAATCAATTGTGATTTGTGAAACAGTGAGTGCTCTTTAATCTCCACCTATCAATCATTAACCAATGTCATGAATTAGAGGATTTGATTGGATCTAGTGAAATGTGGTGCCATGGGATGAAACATGTTTTTCCTTGTTGAGTTCCTTGTGCCATCTCAATGCTTTGATGGCATGTGGTCATTGCACTTCATAATGCTTAAAGCTCAAGACTATAAGGAATATCATTGCAATAGAGATTGGCCTGCATAGATGAGATATGGTGGTTTGAAGTTGTTTTGCAAGTGGTTTGGACATGAGAATTGGAGTTGCCTTAGCTTATTATGTTTTTGATTAAACCTATTGATTTTTGAATTTGCATTGGTTTCTTATGTAGTACCATGCCGTATAGAATGTTGAGTGATGAAGAAAGGGCCCGCATCATGGAAATGCATGAGGGTGGAATGAAGTGTTTGGACATTGAGGTTGTATTGAATGTTCTACAATTGACTATTTCCACTCTCTTGACAAATTGAAAGGTCGATGGTAGTGTAAAATCTTTAAAAAAACCAATGTGGTAGGCATTGGAAGTTAACTAATTGTGGTACTAGATTGTTGTTTCATTTTATTAGAGCTAATGAAAGACAACCATTATCAAAAATAATAAGCCAATTGAATGTATATTGTAACACAACATTATTGTATTTGCATAAGCTAGGCTTTAGAAATTGCATTGTGCTAAAAAAAATCCCTATCTTAGTGACAATCATAAATTAGATAGACTTACATTTGTCCATGGTCATGAAACTTAGAATTTTAAAGATTGGTGCAATGTGATTTGGTCAGACTTGTCATTATTTGAAATTGGTAAAAATTCAAGGCAAATTAGAGTGTGGCAAAAATTGTACAAAAGATGTTTGTGGAATTATATAGCAACAACTTTTAAGTTTGGTTGTATTTTGGTGATGGTTTGGAATACATTTACTAGCTTTGCTATATGTCCTTTGGTTATTATGCTTCTAAATAGAAGAACATCAATCAATTTTGTAACTGGTTATGATAGAGCATTAAGTAGATTTTACTTTTTATATAATCACCTTAAGCAATTGAAACTTATGGAAGATAGAGCTCCAATTTATTGTAGCTTACTTCTATTACAATAGAGACATACTTATGGTATGACAAAACAAATTTGGTGTACAAACTCTCTAGATTTAAATTCCATAGAAGACATGTGGAAGATTGTCAAAGATTTTTTGCGGCATTGTTGTAGACCAAAAAACAATGAAGATATGATACAAATCATTCAATCAACTTATAATACAATATCTTTAGAGCAACTCCAAACCTTGATTAGGAATATACCTAAGCATGCAAGCAAATATTTTAAGATGTGATAACACTAGATGGTAGATATTATGTTATGATTTTTAAATTTGTTGATTGATTTTATAGTTTTGTATAGTAATTATGTTATATTTTCAAAGTAGATTCTATCATCTTTCCAATGCAATTTATGTCTTGTAAATTAATGAATTTTTGAGCTGACAAGGAGCTTCTCAAAGTTTGTAGTTTTCATTTTGATTCAAATTTAGGAAAAAATTCGAATTATTAATAGACTCTACCATACACTATTGACATGTTCTTTGATGGATTATTGCATGGATAGGAGAGTTGTTCATTAAACCAACAATTATAGATTGGGAGATGTATCAAATATGATTAAGCCTACATAACTAAAATGATAACCAAATCTGCCAATACAATTCTAGAATCAATGTGACCTTTATAAAAGTCTTTAATTATCAACTCTAAAAAGTGATGTCTGATAGTTAAGATATTTATAGTAATAAATGCAATAAGATTTTTATTTCAAACAAATTTGATACTATAAAGTTTATTAATCATAAGATTCAAGAAAAAACATCTAAGATAAATATTAGAAAATAATTAAAAATAAATAGATAGATAAATATATATATATAAATAGATAAATAAATATATAGACTTATTAATGCCACACCCCAACTTTTTTAAAGCCACATCTTTTAAACTAATTCATAATTCATTTAGTCCTATCTCATTCTACTTCTATTTTTCATCATCATTTTCTATTAGACAACATGTCTTTTATGCTCGACCTTCTCATTTATCCAAAATATTGCCTGATATATTGTCCAAAGCAACCTTGTCAACATTGTCTCAGAGTGTGGAAGGCTTGTTTTTAGTCAAAGAGGTTTGGAATAAAAATATATTTTTAATAAAATTTCTCAATTTTATTTTGTTAGTTTTGTTAATTTGAATGAGTTTCTTAAGTATTATATTATTATGTAGATTGATACCATGAGTACATTGTGAATTTACACTAATTGATAAGCTACCTTTTTCTCATATTTTACTTTGAAGTCTGTACACATGAGAGTGTTTAAAATGAATTCTTATTTGAAATGAGATTGTAGATGGCTTATTAGAATGGTTATTGAGAATTATTGCAATGTAGAGCACATTGAAAATTATTGTACTATAGAGCTTATTGAGGATTATCACACATAACATTCATACCACTGTCTTCTTAGTTAATTCTTAGCCATACTTTTTATGTGTTACTTTCTTTTTACTTGTACTTTTTTGCTAAAATTTGTAATTAGATTTTAGTCAATGAATAAATATATTTTTCCTTGTGGATATTATTGTTAATAGATTGAAATCTGTGAATCACATCCTTTGTATATTTCACAATGAAAGGAAGAATCTATAGGTTTCAAACATTCATGCCAATGAAACCATGTCACTAGTAACTCTTATGACATTCAAATGTGCCATTGTTGATGTGCCTTTTGGAGATACAAAGGTGGTATTAAAATTAATAATCTCAATTTTACAAAGATGAGATTTTGGACAAAAAATTGACCTTATATTGGCTTTAATATTGTAGCAAACAAAGACACAAATTTTGGTCTTTACAAAATATTGTAATTTGGAATCTATATGTTTACAAAAGTTGTATGTGCACACTCTTATTAATGCAATTGCATCTAATATTGACTACTAAAACTAATAGACAAGAGTTGACTTCATCATAGATATCCTAGCATTGGAAAAAATACTAGTAAAATCAAATGAAAGAATATAGTAGCAAATATTTTTAGAATGTTTGATTAGACTAAATTTATTTTGAAGGACTTCATTGATATAGGAAGTACAAGCCCTTGCTTTAAGACTTCATGTTGCTTCAAGGCTTAGATATAATAGTACATTTCTAGTTTGAAGGAAAAATACTATTCATCTAGTAGCAAGTTGCAATTCTCTCAATAGCAATCAAGTATATAGTGGTGCAAAAATTACATTTCTACAGACAATTAGAAGTATATTTTAGCTCTTGAAATTTATTTGCTACATAAGAAGACATTGATAAGAGTTGAGCTTAAGTAGACTCAATTCTATAATACAAGGATATAACAATTCAATTGTATAAGAAAAAACCACAAAACACTATATCATAATAATCATAGTCTAAGGAGAAATAAGAGGCATGTTGTTTTTTTTTAATAAAAAGATGATTATTCTTTCTTTAGCTATTTTTTTCATACATTCTTAGTATGACAACTTAGTTTCTTTTAAGTCAAATGAGACAAAATTAACTTTTATATTCTTATATATAATAATAGAAAGTTGCAATTAGTTGTGAAAAGTTGTGATAATCTATGATAAATTGTCAAGTACATGGTTTATATGTGGAAATTTTGTTGTATAAGATTTTAGCTTGGAAAAGAAAAGAACATATATATCTCTTAATAACTTGGCTTTGAACTGTATTGGAGAAACTATGGCCATTTCCAAACTTATTCTCTAAAGCATCAATGAGTATCATTTTTTCTCTTTCTTCCATGCATCTATTCATGTGTCTAGAGCAAATGAGGTTTAAGTTTTTCAAATCAAAATATATTTAATGCCATTAGAAGCTATTCAGATTTAATTAGCTCATACTATAGATATCACTATTTAAATCATGAAAATAAATAATATCCAAAATCAAAAAGCCAATACAATTGAATCCAAATTATAACTTAATATTTTCTATACTTTTAGAGTAAATCTATGATTCCAAGGCAACGAATATCAGTACATCATAATAAAGTTCTAAAATGCTTGAAAAAAAAATTATTTGTACATTTACTAATCAAAAGTAAATGATCCACTATTCATTCTATTTGAAAAATTAGTTTACAAAAAGATTTAACTAGCCTCTATTATAGATATCACTATTTAAATCATGAAATTTTAAAAATTTTATTCTATTTAAATAAAAAAATTAGTTCACAAAAAGATCAATCAACTTAGTTACTTTACTTTGACAATTTACTAGGAAATATTACCATCTTAGCACCAAAAAGTCTTATGATAGTTCTTTCCTTCTTATGATAGGCCTTCATAGCAAGAATATCCATGCCATCTCTCGACTTATCGACCAAGCCTTCATTTGCCTCAACAATGGCAATGATTTTTCCTCCAATACCATATATGTATTAGAAAATCCACAAAAGTGTCAACTATTTAGAAGATCATGATGTTAGATACCATGAACAATAACTTAAAGATTCCTTCATTCTCAATTCTAACATTTATACACAAAATATTATATATTATCAAGTCTTTTCAAACATCAAACAAAGATATTATTGATTGATTGTTTACTTACATTGACTATGTGACGACCTACATTCTCGAAATCTTGTGTGATGAATGTCTTCTCCCTGATGCTTATTGTTATGCCTAACCTAGCAACCAAGGTTTGTAATTGTTGAAAGATACATGTTACAACAACCATCCACAAAATTTTCCATATTTATTTCTCACTCTTGATTTCTTACAAATAGCAACATTAGCAAAATGAAGAATTTAGCCAATCTATTATATTGATCAAGACATATAATATTGAAAGAACTCTAGTTACAAAATTACCTCATCATTGAAAAACTTCCATAAACAGAAGAAAACTCCTAGTCCTATTGCCTTTATCCTTCTATTAATACTTCCCTCCTCCAAACGTATTTCAATTACATAAGCTGAACCATTGATATCATTTGTCTATAGATGCTCAAAAGTATCTTTAATCTATACCATTTCTCATGGACTAGTTTTATAGTTGGCATCTAGTACATCCTACATATGAAGAAGTCAATTAAAAATGTCAACCAAATCCATAACATACTTAAAAGCTTCAATCTTATTCAATGACAACATTGCATGTGACTTCAAATACTTACAATAGAAGGTCCAATGAATTCCTTACAATAGAAGGTCCAATGAATTCCTTCCTTAGAAGCTCGTTGGTGTACCACCTTATTATAGTTTCTTTTTTGTTCCTAGAGTATTTTATGGGGCCTCTATAATCTTCATTTCAACTCAACATCTTCATCATAGTATCTACATCTTTCTTTAGTAGAGATCTTACAAGAGTACAAAGAGAGAATAATTGAGTTTGATATAGAAGTGAGCAATACAATTAAATGACAATAGTTGAGCAACTTTTAGAGGATGAATAGTTAATGAGATTATCTATTTTAATACCACCTTTGCACATCAACAATGACACATTTGAATGTCATAAGAGGTACTAGTGTCATGGTTTCATTGGCATCAATGTTTGTGGCCATACGGATTCCTCTTTTCACTATGAGATACACACAGGGTGTGGTTCACAGATTTCAATCTATTAACAATAATATTTGCAAGGGCAAACACATTTATTCACTGACTGCAACCTAATCACAAATTTTAGCCAAGGAATACAACAAGTGAAAGGAAAGTAACACATGAGAAGTATGGCTGAAAACTAACCATGAAGACGGTGGTATGAATGTTATGCGCGATAACCCTCAACAACCGTTCTAATCTTCCTCTGCACTGAGAAAACGAGCAGTAGCTCGACAAGACCTCTACAATCTCATTTCAAACAGGAATTAATTTCAAACATTCTCAGATGTGCAGACCAAAGTAAAATGAGAGAAAAAGGTAATTCACCAATCAGTTTAATTTCACGATGTGCACACAGTATCAATCTGCACAACAATGCAGCATTCGACCAACACTTTTAAATCAACAAAACTAACAAAACAAAATTGATAAACTATATTAAAAATATATTCCCGTTCCAATCCTCCTCTGTCAAAGACATGCCCACCACACTCTCGAGGAGTGTGGACGAAGCTGCCCTAGGCAATGTTTCGGGCAAATGAGAAGGCCAAGCCAAAGGACAAGCTGCCTAATGGAGGATGATGGAGTGCGGGAGTACAATGAGATAAGACAAAAAGAATCATGAACTGGTTTAGAAGTGTGGCTTGAACAAAGTTAGGGTGTGGCGTTAACAAATCCCTATCTATATATACATATATATATATATATATATATATATTTAAACTCACACATAAAGAAGGTAGAAAAATGATGCGACTTGTTGACACATGGGACAATTTACACGTGACTCAACAAACCATTCCAGAGAAGAAACATGAAAGACCAGCCTCAACCATTGAATCCTTTCAATTCTGAACCCTACTTTGGGGAAGCTGTCCTTGCTGAATTCTGCAACCCTTTCCGTTCCACTCGAGCCTCCGTGATTCAAACAACAGCCAATCGAGATAAAAGCCAGATTCCATCCTTCCAGCACCAAAAACATATGCACCAGTGAAGATGCGAAATGCAGCTAAACAATCAACCGATTCTTGTTATTGTTCTACGCACAGTATAGTGGATTATTTGCGGGCCGGGACTGCTGCTGCTGCTGCTGAGACCTTTGAAGACCATGCCGCGAACGGTGGCTCACAGCTTGATCCGGCCAACAAAGGTCTCTTTCATCGAGGAAACGTAGAGGTAATCACCAACTTTAATCCCACCAGTGACTATACCCACCGCCTTCGCATCCGGATCCTGATACTGTCGGAGCGCACGACCGCTATCGTCGATGATCAACAGTCTGGCAGTCCGGGCAGCCGCATCTAGACTCAATCGAACAGCTTCTGGTAGCACCATCACCAGCTTTTTCAAAAACGGAGTCTTCCAGATGAGATCGAACAACGCGCTCCGCTGGCCGACGATGCCGACGTAGTAAACTCCCTCGTCGTAGTTGTAGTGGATGTTGTCCGGGTGCCCTGGAAGATTCTCGTTCATGATCTCCATTGTCCCCTTCTTGTCTCCCTTGACGTAGTACTTGGTAATCCTGGCCACCACGTTCTCGGTGAAGATGAGCGCGTCTTCGTCCTTGGTAAGGGTGAGCCCTGTTGGGGAGTAAATGTTGTCCAGCAGTAGCCGGGAGGATTTGGCTTTAGGGTCGTATACTATAAGGCGTCCGTTCGGCTTGCCTTCCCAGAACTCAAACCAGTGTGCCGAGACGTTGTACTTGAAGGATACGTCCGAGAGGTAGATGAGTCCATCTCTGTCGACAGCGACTCCATCGGCGAAGGTTATCTTCGATCCGTCCACTTCGGATGCTAGAACTTCGACACCCTCGTCGGTGACCTGCAGTTCGTTTCACAAACTATTAGAAAATTGAACGCCTGCACAGTGTGTCTAGGCAGTATGGAAAGTCGAAGATCTGCCGATTTCCAAAAGCTAATCTACTTTGACAATAGAGTCGCCAGAGATGGAGGAGAATAACGGCAGAACTCTCTACTCTTTGTTGGGATGGAGTGGATGTCTTATGATAAGGAGAAAAGAATTACACAACATGGTGTTACAGAAAATGACTCTGTACTTGCCCTGACAAATAGTAGGGTTCGTAGTCGTTGAACTGCACTAGCGACATGGCGGAATAGGAGCCCAATTCAAGTTCAAGAATCTACCATGAAATGCTTTGACACTGGCTTCAATCGCTTTTAAGTGAAGGTAAGGGAGGTATCATGTGAATTTTCCGGTCACTAAATCCTGCTGTCGATACTCACTAGGAGTAATACCACATAGATTCATGTGCATGGAATATTTCTATTCAGCTGCTGGATTCAGTGAAGCCCTCCACACCTGAATATCCAACTAATACTGCAACTTTGGTACCGTAACGTATATCCAGCATTTTGCCTAAACAGCCCTATTCTATCCTCACAACTCGGAGCTCAAGTTTCCCGACTCTAGAAGGACTTGTCCTTCGGTGTGTGTTAAAGATGTTCAAGACGTTTCAATGGTAGTTCATAGACAATGAGCGATCTGGTGGGTGGGTGGGAGAGGACAGATGGCCACTTGGTGAGCATCACTAATTAACACGAATCTGGTAAACCTGCTACTTTTGTATCAGTAAAGTATAAGAATGTTACTATTGTTCAGTCAAAGACAGCGGGCGCAACTCACCTTCACCAAACCCTGCAGAGCGTCCGCGACCAAAACCTCGCCGTCAGGGCCAAGTGCAAGCCCGAGAGGCACCCCTCCCACATGCTGCCAATCCTCCACGGAATGATCCGCCAGGTGCAGTTTCTTGATCCACCCACTCCCGGCGCAGCTCACATACAGGAACTTCCCATCAGGACCAAGGACTAAGTCCTCCGGCCACACCAAATTCCCTTCGCCGAGTTTCTCCACGTTCTCCAGTAGCGTGTTGCGCGCGTACACACCTTCTAGCTTCGGTTGCGGTGCGAGGTGAACCGCCGCAGGATCGATGGGGCAGTGCTCATTCACGTAAGAGTAAAAAGCGGTGGCTATGAGAGCAAGGACCACAATCACCACACTCGTCAGCAACGCCATAGTCACGGTGTATCGATCACACCGGCACTGAAGGAGTGTGAGCTAGCGAGATTGGAGATCACCTTTCCAGAACACTTGATTTATCTCTCTCTCTAGTAAAACTTCCACCTGGGGAACGCACAGACAGATTACATTACCCCACCCAAGCCGGTTTCAAATCCTTGGGCTCAACCACAGCAACGGATCGATGTGGAGCTGCTGTGCAAGTGGGTTCCAATGCTGCAAGTCAAGCTTCAGTCAAGCTTGAATTCTCCTGCACAAGACTCCTCCAAGCTCTAGATCGTTCAAACTACCGCTCAATTCCACGAAGTTGCAGACAAAAATCACTTATTCGTCAAACCCAAACCTGTACACTTGATTTCGTCCCACAAAGGACAACGAACACAAAAACCTGAAAAGCAACTTCGACATCAACTACCGACGGGGCATGAGACATCAACTAAGTGTTGAACGTCGAAAACAGATGCTCGATGTCTCTAATCCGACTCTAGGGTCGAGGTGCATCTGATCAACCACCTGCTACTGCTCACTCGCACCCCGCAGCACACCTCGTGCTTGTGATGCTCTCCCGTTGACAACGCACCCAGATCGGGAATCTCAGCTGTGTCAGAGGATTAGAACAGCCCGAAATAAAAATTAGACTGCGAGGAGTCGAGAGAGACTTGGCGAGCGGCCAGTTTTAGCAGTCTAGATATTCTGTGCACAACAAAAAAAAAACAAAACAAAACAAAACAAAACAAAATGCATTTTTGTGGCATTTACGGTGCAGCTCACTTGTTGTTACTAAGTGTCCTGAAATATAATAAAAAGCACGATTGATGCGCCGTTCGTTGATGTCATCGGAGACATGATGGCGTCACCGTTGTGAAGGAAACCGACCCAACCCGCCAATATTGTTTTCTATGTTGAATTGTACACGCAAAGCACCGCAATAAAATCCTTTTCCCTATTATTAGAAACACCCCTGACCCCTCATCCTCTGTCACTGGATGTCCTTTCGATGGATGGATGGATGGATGGATGGATGGATGGGTAGATGAATTTACATGGACATTCATCGTTGACAGCAGTCATGTCAGTTGCTTAGATGTTATGATCGCCTGCTCCTCCATTATTCCAAAGGTGTTAGTTTTAGTTCTACTTCTTAAATCCTAGTCATGTGGTGTTGAATAATAATAGTATTTTTATTATTATTGGGGGAAAAACAATAATAATTTGGGAGTTGGGTAAGTAAGAAGTTGTTTTAATGAGTTTGGTGGATGAGCGTCTTGAAAGAATGAGAACATCATCCCCCCCCCCCCCCCGACAAAAGAAAAAGTGTCGAGGATGGTCTTGCCCAACTTGGGTTCTATAGAATCGAACTTTTTCTAGAGGATTAAATTGCGTTATTAGTTCATTTTAATTTTTTTTAATTTTTTTTTTTTTTGTAGTGTAGGTTGTGTTTTCCTTTTGATTGTCTGTAATTTTGATGTGTTAAGGATTCGAAAGAAAAAAACATAAGTAAGTTTAGTTTATATATAATCAATTCAATGGTTGATTTAAAAAAAAAAAAAAATAGAAACCATTGTAATAAGAATATTCAAATAATGATAATGATAATATAGTTATATTTATATTTATATTTTTAAAACACAAATAAATCATTATTTTTAAATATAATAACCGTTACATACAACATGTACAAAAATATTAGAACACAAAAAAATAGCTTTTTTACTACACATAATATTACAATTTTATTTTATCAATATTTAATTATTATTTAATCTTTTAGGTATGTGTTTCAGTCTAACATCTTAAATAATATTTTTCAGGTTATATTTTATTTTTTTCACTGTTCCTAAATTAGAAAGTCATTCATTATTTATTTTAACAATGGCACATATAGAAATTATATGACTTATCTATTATTTTAAGATTTTATGTAATGTTTTTAATTTTTTAATATTTTATTACAACTATGCATATTCTTATTTTATAGCATAGGATTTTTATTTTTATATTTATTGTCTTTTTTAATACTTGAATTTTTAAGCTTTAAAACTTTACATTGTTTTATATATTACATAATATTTTGGCTTTAATTATATATATATATATTATTCGAATTTCACATTTTATTTTTAATGTTATTAAATTATATATT